CTCTGGTTCCTTCAGGAAGGAGACCTTTCGGGGCCAGGATAACGCCCAGGCGTATACCTCCTTTTCCTATCAGAGGTCATACAATCAACCTAGTGATGGGGCCAGGACAGAAACAGCTTTGGATCCAGGGGCAGACAACAGAACCAGGAATCCTTTCGGAAGCCATTTTGTGGTGGCTCCAACAACCGTCAGTTCAGGCGCGGCAAGTGACCGTCAGAACGACCCTCCCATCGGGGGCAGCCTGCAACTTTATGCAGACCGATGGGAAGAGATTACCACGGACACGTGGATCCTGAACACCTTCAGGAGGGGGCTGATGCTGGAGTTCCTAACGTTCCCTCCACGAACGTTTGTTCATTGTCCCCTGGCCAAAACCCCCCTAAAAAGGTCCCTCATGTAAGCAGAAATTGACCATCTTCTGCAAATAAATGCCATAGAACCAGTTCCTCCAGACCAGAAGGGGAAGGGATTTTATTCCATTCTCTTCCTGGTCCCCAAGAGCTCAGGGGGGTGGAGGGCCATCTTAGACTTGAAGTGCCTGAACCAACATCTGGCCTACAAACGCTTCAAGATGCAGTCCCTCCAATCCATCCTGGACTGCATAAGGCGAGGGGATCTGTTCACGTCCATCAATCTGAAAGAAGCTTATCTGCATGTGCCCATTCACGCATCGCACAGGAAGTTCCTGCGGTTTCACTATGACGGGAGGCACTATCAGTACAGGGCTCTGCCCTTCGGCCTCTCATCCACCCCCAGGACTTTTACCAAGCTTCTTGCAGCGGTGGCGGCTCACCTTCGCGCCCATCCCATACGCCTGGAATGTTACCTAGATGACATCATCATTCATTCACTGACTTGTCGCCAGGCTCTAAGAGACGTGCAACTCACCATACGCACCCTACAGAACCACAGGTTTTCGGTGAATCGGAAGAAAAGCCACCTTGACCCGGTGACTCGCATCCAGCACCTGGGCACTATAATAGACTCTGTTTCATGCCAGGTGTTTCTGTCACCAGACCGGCTACGCAGTCTCAGGAATAGAATTCGTCAGTGCCGCCGGGTCAGATTCTTGCTGATTGTCCAACTCTCGCAGCTTCTCGGCGTCATGATATCTTGTCTAAACGTAGTTCCCTGGGCTCGTCTGCATGCCAGGGAGCTACAGTGGTTCTTACTGCTGATGCAGAGATCGAAGGCCAGCAACTCTCCCAGGAAGGTTTGGCTCCTGTTGAAGGTGATTTGCTCCCTGAGGTGGTGGCAGTCGATAGCAGTAGAGAAGGGTTGTCTATTCAAGGAACCCGGCAGGGTCATGGTCACCTCGGATGCCAGTCTCTATGGCTGGGGGGCACATTTCCAAGGTCAACTGGCGCAAGGTAGATGGTCACGGACAGAGGCAGCTCGAAGCATCAATTGGCTGGAGCTGAGAGCAGCCAGGCTCGCCCTAAGATGGTTCTCAGCCCAACTGGTGGGTCATCATGTTCTGTTACTCAGACAACAGTGCAACGAAGGTCCATGTAAATCAGCAGGGCGGCACCCACTCCAGGAGACTCATGGCAGAAGTGGAGGCCCAGGGCCGTTGGACGGAACAACACCTAGCATCAATAAGAGCGGATCACATATCCGGCACCAGCAATGTCAGGGCAGACTGGCTGAGCTGACAGATGATCAACCAACACGCAGCTCCCGAGATTCTTCTCACGATACCACTCGCCCCAGGTGGAGGGGACAGATGCGCTGAGGTCCAGGTGGCCCCCATGTCTCCTGTATGCCTTCCCGCCCCTGCCGCTCATCCCGCAGGTAAACAACAAGCTCCTGGCGGAGGAGGCGGAACTCATACTGGTAGCTCCGCATTTGCCCAGGAGGTCCTGGTACGCGGATCTGGTTGATCTGTCCATAAGGAAGCCATGGCGAATTCCTCAGGAGCAGATCTCCCTCAGCCAGGGGGCCATCAGTCATCCAGAGCCCCAGTGGCTCCAACTAGCCGTATGGCACTTGAGGGGGAGCTCCTGAGGAAACAAAACCTATCCAACAAGGTCGTCCAGACCATTCAAGCGTCCAGAAGACCATCTACAACACGCATCTACGATGTGACCTGGACCGCATTCTCCACTTGGTGCAAGCGGCATGACATTATAGATGTAGCAGCGTCCATACCTCAACTTCTGGACTTCCTTCAGGAGGGGTTGGACAAAGGCTTGGCGCCCAACACCCTCCATTGCCAGGTTGCAGCCTTGTCAACTATTCTGGCTAGAGACTCTCATCAGTCCTTGAGTCAACACCCTGAGATCAAAAGTTTCTTGAAGGGAGCGACCAATCTTCGACCTCAGGCGATACACAGGTACCCGTCCTGGAACTTACTGTATGTTCTGCGAGCCCTAACCACCGCACCATTCGAACCGTTGAGAACCACCTCTCTTCGTCACTTGACCCTTAAGACTGCCTTCTTAGTAGCAATTACTTCTGCTAGGAGGGTGTCAGAGATTGCAGTGTTCTCTGTCAGGGAGGAACTGTGTATTGGGTCATCCTGCGTCTCGATCCCTCCTTCCTACCAAAGGTGAAATCTCACTTTCACAGATCTCAGGGGGTGATCCTCCCGAACTTTTGTCCCAGGCCTAAGTACCCCAAGGAACACGCCTGGCAGAAGCTGGACGTTTGACGAGCAGTCCGCATATATATGAAAAGGACTAAGGACTTCAGACATTCAGAGTCATTCTTTGTGTCGTTTCAACCTGGGTCGTAAAGTCTCATTTTCAACCATTGGACGTTGGCTGCGGGCCTGCATCAAAATGGTTTATGAATATCAGGGCAGGACCGTGCCGTGTCGTGTGACGGCACACTCCACAAGGAGTGCCACCACTACAGCAGCCTGGGTGACCCAAGCTTCCATCATTGACAGAGCTGCTACATGGGCGTACCCCACAGTTTTCATCAGAAATTATAAAATTGACACCTTTGCCTCAGCNGGCTGGCCCTCCAACCACTCTCTAGGCGTCTTTTCCAGCGTTTCATCTCCCGGAGCTCCTCGGTAAACCAGGGAGCTACCTGGGATCGACACCGGGTCAGAGGCCGCAAAGGCACAACGTGATCCAAGACCCCAGTGGCTGCCCTATCCCAGGCTTCTGCTAGGGCTTCGGTCGAGTTGTGAGCAAGGGATTCCAGAAAAGTCCCAAGCTCCATCAGGAGCCTTTCAGGGTCCATCAGGCGCCTAGGGCGGAACCATCTAGTCGGTTCCACCTCCCTGCGGCGAGGGGTAGCAGTATGGAAGTCAAGCCTGATGAGGAAATTATAAAGGAAACATAGCCCTGCTGCTGATACCTATGTTGCCCTTGTCCCATTTCTCTGAGCAATAAGGTGTTCTGTGACGGAGCATGTATTTGGGTTTGGTTTCCTTTGAAAGGAAGCAAAATAAATTACCTTGAACAGTTTTAAATACAGCAGCTAACCAAGGTCCACTGCTTCTACATGAGATCTCTAGAGAGGCAACTCCCCAAATGGCTGTTAAATTTGTCCCAGCTACTAGCTTTGTTTATCTGGTAGCCTAGCCTCTAAATTGGATTCTTAACCTGAAGTCCATAAGTTTCAGTAGGGTTGGGGACTTGGATAGGAAAAAAAAATACAATTTTATTTTTACTAGCTTCTCACTAAAATTTAGGTTTCATTCAATAATAAATGTAGGCTATAAAGCAATTTATGATCTCTAGATTCCAAAACTTAATTGTTAACTTCAATATATTCCACTATCTAAAATTATTTGAATTTTAATATTTTGGTATCTGTATTTGAATACAGTTGTTTTCTTTAAAATAATCTGTTTTATTTTATGTACTTACATACATTTTTTCCTTAAAGGCATCCATGGGTTTCACCTGATTCTTAAAAGGGGACTTTGGCACAGAAAGATTAAGAAATCTTCGTCTAAATTATGCTGTTCTTTTTAGTAAATGTTTATCTGGTTTTATGATCACAAAGAGATTTAGATTTAGTTTTATAATCTTTTAAAACTAAATCTAAGTTGTCTTAATTACATTTCTGTCTTTCTGCTTCAGGGTCTGAAGTGTAGCAGACTACAGTTTTGGGAGTACACCAAGAAACATGGCAACTCAAGGTATGGATTGGTATAATCAAGTTCATATGAAGTTTAAATTGTGACAAATATTGAAAGTAGCCAATTTTCTACTCTTAAAAATCGTAAGAAATTAAATGTAAGAAAATAAATCTAAAACTTAGTTTTAACATAACTTGACTTTAATGTTTAATGTTAAACAGGAGAATTACGGTCTGCTCTGTACAGTTGCATAGATGCTCAGACATTTGCCACAAGTTAAAATTGAGTGGAATTTTAAAGCAACTCATTAAAAAAATGAGTAAAACACAGCTATGTGCATGAAATGGGAAAAAATGTCTTGGATCTGAAATATACCATAAAGTTCCACAGGTTATGNTTCCCAGGTATTGATGTTAGGCTGATTGCTCTGTAGTTTCCTGGGTCTTTTTTTACTTCCTTTTTTGAAGATGGGAACCACATCAGCTCTTTTCCTATCCTCTGGTACTTCCCCAATGCTCCAGGATTTTGAAAGATATGGCACAATGATTCTGAGATAACATCTGCCAGCTCCTTCAGAACTCTGGGATGTAATCCATCAGGTCCTGGTGATTTATATTTGTCAAGATCAGATAGGTGTTCGTTAACCATTTTCTTGCTTATTTTAATTTTTATTTCTAGTCTGTCTTTTACAGTTACGTTTTTGGTAGGTTGTGCTATAGTTTCTTTTTGCGTGAAGACAGATGCAAAGAATGAGTTAAGCAGCTCTGCTTTCTCTCTACTACCTGTTACTTTCTTGCCATCTTCTCTCTTTAGTGGACCGTTTCCTTCACTGTTTTCTTGTTATTAATATGTTAAAAGAAACTTTTTTTAAATTATCTTTGACTTTTGTTGCAAGTGTTTGTTCACTCTGAGCCTTTACTTTTCTGACTTCATCTTTGCAGATTTGGGCTATTTGCTCATATTCTGCCTTAGTTATGTGTCCCTCTTTCCATTTTTTGTATTTGTCCTTTTTGTCTTTCACTTTATCAGAGAGATCTTTGTGAAACCATGCTGGTTTCTTTTTGGATTTCTTGTTTTTCTTTTTCAGTGGTATTGTGTTGGTATGGGCTTTTATGATCATATTTTTCAGACTTTCCCAAGCTTCTTGAGTTTTCCCTTTTAAGATTTTAATCCATGGAATCCTTCCCAAGCTCTCTGTAAGTTGGTTAAAATCAGCTCTTTTTTATTTATTAGATTTTTATCCTACCTTTATTACTTAATAATAATTAAAGGCAGCAAACATACGTAATACTCCTTCCTCTTGTTTTCCCCACAACAGCAACCTTGTGAGGTAAGTTGGGCTGAGAGAGAAAGTGGCCTAAAAGCTACCCAGCTGGCTTTCATGCTTAAGGCGGGACTAGAACTCCTAGTCTCCTGGTTTGTAGGCCAGCACCTTAACTTCTACACCAAACTTAACCACTACACCAAACATTACTGTTGAAGTAGTTTTTTTAACTGCAGTTCTGACACTTCCAGCATCAACTTTTTTGAACCAGGAGTTCTTTTGGTTTCTCTGTCAATTGTTTGTTTGTTTATTGGATTTATATGCCGCCCTTCTCCCAAAGGACTCAGGGCGGCNTATTGATGTTGAAGATGATAAAAGCTAAGAACTGAATTAAGAGTCTGGAGTGAATGGTGCAACGAGTCGGATGGAGCTCTTAGTCAAATATGGGAAGTCCTGCTGGCCAGGGGGCGTTGCCCAAAGAGCTTATCTGATTCATCCAATCATGAGAGGACAAAGTCAACCCATTCTGGATACTCCTCCCCCCACTATGAGAAGAGGCGTATCAGGTAAGTACCAATGCCCTTTTTGCAGCAAGTTGCCTTGGCTCCGGACAATCTGGACACGACTTCGGCCCTCCCTGGGACCAAATAGCTTGGGTATGTCCCATGCTTGGACTCTCCAAGCAGCGCACAGGAGAATGACCGTTGGCTTACCTAAACGGTGGTTCTCTGGGCGCTGCGGGAGAGTCCAAACCCGCCCAGGGTTTCTTGAAAGGTCCAAGGTTCGACATTATGATTAGGATACCTGAAGGGCCTCCTACAGTGGACAAGACTTCGTTTTTAAACTGACCTCAAGGAGGCAAAGGAGGCGTGACCAAAGAAAAATCTACTCAGCCCTAGGGCAGATAGGCTGTGTTAACCCATGCTTGGACTCTCCCACAACGCCCAGAGAATGACCGTTCAGGTAAACCAACGGTCATTTTCTCTCATTTCTCTCATCTCTTTCTCTCTGTGTGTGTCTTGTCTCTTTCCCTCCCTCCCCTCTCTCTGTCTCTTGTCTTTCCCTCCCCCCTCTGTGTCTCTTGTCTCTCTTTCCCCTCTTTCCCTCCCCCTCTCTGTGTCTCTTCTCTGTCTCTTTCCCTCCCTCCCTCTCTCTTTCTGTGTCTCTGTGTCTCTGTCCATCACTGGGAGGTGGGGGAAGGAGCCTCTGAACTGGTGCTAGGTGGTGGGAATCTGATGTCTGGATGCCGACGAGCCATGTACTGAAGACCAGATGGGGGCAGTCTCCCCAAAAATAACACATCTCTTGTCACTTGCGAGCACTTCTTGTGAGGAGGAGAAGTGTGGTGGGAGGAGGCTTGGGTGTTAGAGGGGCGGCAAGTGCTTTGTGACTCCTAAGGGGGGGGTCGAGCCTCCCCGCTCACAACATCTTCGCCTGAGGGCATTGCTGGCAGCCGCTTCCTGCAGTTCAGGAGGTCCATGCTCTTCCCGCTGCTGCTCGGCCTTGATTCGCGGAGGGAGGAAGCGGTTTCGTTCACTGCCTGAGAGCTTAGTGAACGAAACCGACGCCTCCTGCCTCCACGCTCTCCCTTCCACCACGCAGTGATTGCCGATCCCCACTTTCTCACTGGCCTGCATTGTCCCGCATCGCCGTTCTCAGCAGCCCCCTTTTCTGCTGTTTCTCTAACCGGCATTGGGTTCCTCCTTCGTATGGAAGGATGCTAAACTCGGGGAAAAATAGGCCACCTGGAGGTGGGCAAGGAAGGCCAGGCTCCCCTTCTCCTATGGTTTTGCAAAGCCCATGAGGTTTTTTGTGGAGAAGCAGATCACTTCCTGCAGGATTGGCCTCGGCAACTGCTTAGGATGACAAACAGAAGAGCTTTGCTCTTTTTCTTTTTTCTTTTTGAAATTGCCCCCTCTGCTTTTCTGCCTTAAAATTCTGGGCTCTGGCAGCAGGGATACTTCATCCTTTCCGCAAGAGAGTCTCGCCAGCGTCCCCTTGATGGCCTTTCCCTCTCCCCACACAGTTCCCAGGGAGGGAGAGAGAGCGAGAGAGGAGTGGGGAACAAACGGAAAAGACGGCCGGACTCGCAGCATTTTGTTTTAATTTGACTGAGGGAGCGCAACCAATCTCATTGTACATATGCTGTGCACTGACAATAAAGAATTATTATTATTATATACTTTATTCATTAAATAAACACGGTAGCAGAGACTGAAAACCCAAAGACCAGCTGGTCAGTGCACTTGTGCACGCTGGCCAGCTGGTCTTCCAGTTTCTGGACCGCACATGCATGCCGGCCAGCTGGTATTCGGATTTCCAGCACTCCAGCATGCGTGAAGACCAGCTGGCCAAACCGGAAGAGCAGCTGGCGATGGCCCGCATGCCCACAGAGAGGGCTCTGCATCCCATGTATGCCACAGGTTCACCATCACGGACCTATAGTTACTTTCCCATAAATTTTGCCATTTGTCTAGTTTTATGTTGTAGCCAAAGTTCTTTTCCCATTGTACCATTGTATCTTTTATTTGTTCATTCATTTTTAAATTTAGTAAGAAGTTATATACCTTTTTAATTAGTTTTTCATCAGAGTTCAACAGTGCTTTGAAGACAGCAAAGTCCACATTTTGGACAGAGAACTGCTGGTTTGAAAGGGGGGGTCAAAGAGGCCATCTATGTTAAAATTGAACAGCCCTCGGTCAACAGAGGGGGAGGGATATGACATCCATCTCCAGTCTACAACACAAACCTTTCAAGAGTTCCAAGAAGGCTCCACACCCATTTGCACTACTCAGGTGACCCTGATGACATAGACCTCCAGGTGGTCTCAACAACTGTCTAATAGAATGCAAATGACGAGATGTCTGAAGGAGTATAAATCCTTCCATTCTCCACCATCCAGTCAGAGCTGAAGAAGCTGTTTGGATGAGAAGTGAAACATCTTCAAAGAGAAACTGGAAAGTTCAGTTGCCTGTTGAAAAAAGCGTCTCTGGGACAACCATGACCTGGATGACTGAGAATCTCCATAGAGACCGAAGAGCACTGGGCCTAAGATGAAATATTGTGGTACCCCACTGCTTACTTCCCTCCATGTAGATGTAGTACCCTTAAGGACTACTCATTGAGTATGGTTTGACAGCCAGTTACAAATCCATCTGGTGGTGATGCTGTCTATCCCACATTTTTCTAGTTTACCAAGAAGTAGGTTGTGGTCTACTTTGTTGAATGCCTTACTGAAATCTAAGTATACTATGTCCACAGCATTTCGCTGCTAGTCTACTAATTTAGTCCCTTTGTCAAAGAATGAAATACGATTGGTTTGGCATGATCTGTTTTTAACAAACACATGCTGGCTTCTAGTTATAACTATTTGTTTCTAGATGTTCACAGACCTGTTTTTTGATTATCTTTTCCAGTATCTTCCCAGGTATTGATGTTAGGCTGATTGCTCTGTAGTTTCCTGGGTCTTTTTTTACTTCCTTTTTTGAAGATGGGAACCACATCAGCTCTTTTCCTATCCTCTGGTACTTCCCCAATGCTCCAGGATTTTGAAAGATATGGCACAATGATTCTGAGATAACATCTGCCAGCTCCTTCAGAACTCTGGGATGTAATCCATCAGGTCCTGGTGATTTATA